AAGGAAGGAAGGAAGGAAGGAAGGAAGGAAGGAAGGAAGGAAGGAAGGAAAAGAAATGGAGGGCCTCCTGGGTGGAATGGATGCTTCCAGCCAAGGTGGGGCCTGTGGTCAATTGAGGAGGTCAGTTAGTGACAGGGTCTCTGTGGTCAGCTCATATGGGTCAGCAGCACCTTAGCACCAGCATCCTGAGTTGTTCAGAGTGAGGAGTCTGGCCCCTGGGGTTCAGGACCAGGTCATGGAGTTGGTGTTCTGGGCACCTCCTTCCTGCTAAAGAATAGCTGGGCAGGCAGGGTGGACAGGTTGGGTGGCATAGCCGAGCTGACACTCACCTCCAGCATAAAACCCCACTTCATGGAGCCTGCACCTTGGTAGCGCTAGCCAGAGAGCTCCAGCCACTGCTGACCAATTGACAAGCCTGAGATCATGAGGCAGCCCCCCATGCCTGTGCTGCTGCTGCTGCCATCACTGCTGCTGAGTTCTGGTGAGTCACAGTCCAAGGACAAGCTCAGTCTGCCACCTCTCTGGAGGGACCCCTCTTGTGCTGGTTTGAGCTCCAACTGAGCCCCTGACTCCCTGGGCTTGCCTGGGCCTGTACCACAAACCTCTCTTCCAAATGACGGGATTCCCAGGGCATATCCTAAGGATCTAGATACCCCACCTGGGGTGGGGGTGCTGAAATGGGGAAGGTAGAAGGGGGAATGTGGCCAGCTGTGGCCCTCAGAGGACCCTAAGGCAGTGGCTTGGCCAGAGCTACTCCCCATCTTCACAGGGGTGCTCACTGAGTGACTGTGCATGACTCTGGGCTTGGGGCTCCCCTGGAGGGATCGCTTCCCATTCCGCAGATGAGAAAATAGAGCCTCCATACCTATAAGATTTGAACCCAGACCTGCTGTTCTCTAAGCCCCTGGGCTGGGATGTGTGTGAACTGGAGTTGCCATCTGAGCCTGGAATCCTCCAGAGTTTGGCTGAGGCCCAGCAGAGAGTTGGGGGGCAAAGAGTTGCAGGCCTTAAAGGGTCCCAAATTCTACCAGCAGAGGCATAAGCAGAGTCCTGCCCATCCTGAGCAGAGGTCAGCAGGTTCTAGCCAGAGGCCCCACCTGCCAGGTCCCTCCCTGCAGGGCGGGTTCCTCTCTACCAAGGAAACTCTCCTACATTCCTGGGCCAGCCAGGCCAGCCCAGCAGCCAGCACACTTCCCTGTCCTCACTTCACCTTCCCAGGCCAAGCTGGATCACACCAGACCATGTCTCAGCCAAGGCTCCAGGGGTAAGAGGACACTAGTGGGTGTCCCCATAGGAACCCTTACCTTTCTCAGCCTCATGGCCAGTTTCCCTCTCTTGCCTCCAACAGCAAAGATCAGAGTGTTGCGAATCCATTTCTACTGGGCATGACACTGTGGTGGCTCCCTGTGGGTGGATCAAATGAGGTCACTGCCTAAGTGGAGACAGTGGCCTGCCTTTGGCTCACAAACAACTGCAACTTGAGGCTGGACCCCTGGGTGACATACCCACCTCAGCCCAGGGTGGCCAGCCCCCACAAGCCTCTTGCTGGTCTCTCCCAGTTCCTTAGACCTCCACTCTCACCAGTATCAGGGGCCTGGGGCCCAGGATGGGGATAGACTGATGCCCTGGCTGTGCCATCCATCCTTGATAAGAGGCCCACCCCAAAGAGCCAGGCTCATCGCAGCCACCCTGTCACCCCACGAATTTTCAGTGCCCAGGTCCCCAGAGGCAAGCTCTGCCTTCACAAACCTCCTGGGCTTGAGCTCTAGGTTAGATGAGATGCCCTAAGGAATCCCTCAGGGGAGCAAGGGAGGCTTCCAAGATAGATAGCACAAGCTCAGAAGGCTTCCTGGAAGAGGTGGCACTTGAGTGGACCTCAACTTGAATTAGGGGAGCTGGAGAGATTGCTTAGTGGTTAAGAGCACTGACACTGCTCTTGCAGAAGATCTGGGTTTGATTCCTAGCACCCACATGATGCCTAACAACTATCCATAACTCTAGTTCCAGAGGATCCAATGCCTTTTTTCTGATCGCCATGGGCATTGCACAACATGGGTGCACTTACACACATTCAGGCAAAAACACTCATACACATAATATAAGAATAATAAATTAAAAAAAAAAACTTGAATTAGGGCCTATAGAGAGTTGGCTCAGCCTAATGAGAAGGGACCCAGTAGCAGCAGAGAACATGGTTTGCAGGCAGGGAGAATGCACAGGAAGCTCTTGCAGGCTCCAGGGGTGGGGAGCCTTTCAGTATATCTGTGCCCTTGAGGACAGAGGGTAGCTGGGCTGGGCAACATTGCAAGCTGACTCTCCAGGCCTGGAGATCAGGCACAACTGTCTCATACCAAGATGTGGGGCAGCTCTCTCTGGGCACATGCAGAGAACATGGTTTGCAGGCAGGGAGAATGCACAGGAAGCTCTTGCAGGCTCCAGGGGTGGGGAGCCTTTCAGTATATCTGTGCCCTTGAGGACAGAGGGTAGCTGGGCTGGGCAACATTGCAAGCTGACTCTCCAGGCCTGGAGATCAGGCACAACTGTCTCATACCAAGATGTGGGGCAGCTCTCTCTGGGCACATTTTCATTTTGTTGTATTTTATTTTTATTATTATTATTATTATTATTATTATTATTATTATTATTGGTTTTTTTTCAGACAGGGTCTCCTTGTAGCCCCC